GAGATCAAAGGAGAATACAGTAGAAGGTAAATCAGAGCTAGGCAAGGCAGGAACCAGATCATGATAAGCCATAGTTAAAGAATTTGGATTTTATTTGGGGGTTTGGGACTATATTAAAGAATTATCTGACCATGGAGCTTATTTATGCTTTAGAAAGAACACTCTGGCTACAGTTTGGAGACTGAAGTGAGGTTAGAGACAGACCCATTATGAGGCTGCTGCTGTGGTGAAAGAAAGGCAGGATGAAAGTGTGAACCAGGACTAAAGTTATAAAGGTGGTGAGAAATGATCAGACTGGAGATGAGAAAGTACAGTAGACCTGAACTACTGACAGGCTGGATGCAAAATGTGAGGAAAAAGAAAGAAATTCTAGATTTGGTCTGAGCAAAACTTAGTAGTCATACCTAGATAGTTTAAGTACTATCTAGGTAGTACTCATTTAAGTACTCACTAATCATGCTGAATACTTTGGTCTTATCTGAAAAGCAGCAGGAAGCAGGGAAGTCAAAAAAAACCAGGTAGGATTCCAGACATATTCTGCTGATTTACCAAGCTAGTCTCTGCAAGAACCTACCAGACTCCTCAATGCTGCTCACTAGCTTGAGCCACAGTTGATTCCTTTTGGAGAGACTAGGAGGCTGCCCATCAACCATAGATTAGGATTTCCTCTGAAGTGCAATGAATCCAGGTTAAAGCTTATTTACTCTTAATGCAAATATATCCTTTTCACCCCTTAATCTACTAGAAAACTCCTAGGACCACTTAAGCTCATCCACTCTACATCTTCATCATCTTAATCCTGCCCAGATAAACATTCCTTTGGTCATCTATGGTTTCCCAAACTCTCAGTCTCAATCTGGTCTCACCTCTTTTCCTGACTCATCTTCCCACTGCTCCCCTCTATCATTTCTGCTGTATTCCAGAGGATCTCCTTTACGTGGTTAACAAACACCCTACATCCCAGCTCTCTTCAATGAACATTCCCTTCATCAACCACCTTCAACTTAAACGTGCCTCTCCCATGATAATACCACATGCAGTAAAGCCCTGTAAAAAGGAAACCCCTCATCTCCAAACTTTCACAGATCTCAAAGTCAAGAATAGAGATGTCCATCATATTGGTGGATGCTAAGACTGAATGTGTCTTTAAAGAAGTATAATTTCAACAGAATTGATAAAGAAGACTCTAAATTCAGATTCTAATTTCTTTTTTTTTTTTTTTTTGAGTTCGAGTCTCACTCTGTCGCCCAGACTAGAGTGCAGTGGCCACTGCAGCCTCGACCTCCTGGGCTCCGGCAATCCTTCCTCCTCAGCCTTCCGAGTAGCCGGAATTACAGGCATGTGCCACCACACCCGGCTGATTTTTTGATTTATCGTGGAGATGAGGTCTTGCTGCCCAGGCAGGTCTCGAACCCGCGGGCTCAGGCAATCCACTCACCTCAGCCTCCCAAAGGCGCGGGATTACAGGCTGAACCATCGATCCCGGCTTCAGATTCTAATTTCAAGGCTGAAAGCAATCTATCTAAATGTTAAACACTAGGAATTCACTCAAAAAAACCAGAATATACCCACAAAAGGATATTAAGAAGGATACTATTAAGTCAATATACAGATATTACAAAAGAATACTTAATACCTTCATTAACATTCATATAACTAAATTACATATAACTTTATATATAAAATTAACCAGTATGTAACATGTGAGGTTGATTTGATTAAAGAGAAAGAAGAGTGTGTGGGGTATGTGGACATGTAGAAAAAAAGGTCATAAATAACATAAACTGTTATCTCTAAGTGGTAGAATCACAATTTTTTTCATGCTTTTCCTATTTCCCTCAATTTCCAAATAAAATGTGCTTTTTTATAATGAAAAAAAAAGGGGGCCATAATATGCTACTTTAAAAACTTTATAGGCTGAGTATGGTAACTCACGCCTGTAATTCTAGCACTCTAGGAGGCTGAAACAGCAGGACTGCTTGAGTCCAAGAGTTTGAGACCAGCCTGGGCACCATAGCAAGACCTCATCTCTACAAAAAAAATCAGCCAAGCATGGTGGCATAGGCCTACAGGTAGGCCCAGCTACTTGATAGGCTGAGGCAGAAAGATCACCTGAACTCAGGAGTTGAAGGCTGGAGTGAGCTGTTATCCTGCCACTGCACTAGAACCTAGGTGACAAAGTAAGACCCTGACTCAAAAAAAAAAAAAAAAAAGGCACACACAAAGAAACAAAAACCCTTCATAATCATAACACACCAAAATTCTTCTTCAATAAAATTTACATAGGCTGTTTTAGTGTTTTCATGTCCTTTGTTTCTTAAAAAAAAAAATCAAATGAACAAACAACCAATTACCTCCACATTCTTCAGTTGATTGCCCAAAACTTCAGTTATTAGCAAAAAACAAACAGAAATAACCCCTCAAGATTTCTAAGTAGAGCATTCACTTCCACTATAACTCAGCCAAGAGTCTGATACCTCTAAGTACATAATCTCTTTTTAATACCCAAATATGCTATCCAAAGCAAATGGCTATAAGCTGGGGTCCCTTAACTGTAAAACTAAGGATATATTGTTGTTTTGTATAGCTTTATAAAAACCATGCATTCTTAATGTATAAGAAGATATTAGTCACACATTTTTTAAATGTTCTAAAAGAGATTATCACTTTGCTAATTTCCTTTAGGGAGATACATAAATAGCTGTACATAATTTTGGCTACTACACAAAAGTAGTAATATAAAAGATAGGATACTGGAAAGAGATTTTCGGCAAGTCAGTTCCCAAAGAGAAAATATTTAAGAACAAAAACTTAGCTCTCAAGGTAAGCGATAATACAACAATTGCATCTGGTATAAAAATAATGACACACTCAGAATAATCTCTAATAACTCTAAATTAAAGCATTCTTTTCAAAAGATACCCTTTTAAAAAAAATCAATGTTTAATCTTTGTAATTTTGCATTAAAAATAATGCTTTCACCATAAGTCCATTGGAAAGAATTGCTTAGTAAAGAGCTTGTATGAGGAGAAAAACATTTTGGAGTAAATTTCACCCGTCCTAACACTGAATTGTACCCTAATCTTTAAAGTTAAAAAAATAAAGATAAGAAAATCTTTTAAAAATTTAACCCAAGTGTTATACATTCATATTATATAATACAATGAAATAAATAGAACTAATTTACATATTCAACAAAGTTAACCACTATTACTAGACTTTGCTTTTCTTTTAAATCATAGCTGAAAAGTTATATATCATTTCCTAAAAAAGTAGATACTCTTGAAAAGAACAATTAATGAAATCGGTATTAGGACCAAGAAGAATTTTATATACTCCTTTCAAAGCAAACTACAGTGCTAGATGCTTTCAAATCAATTCTAACAGATATGGTATATGTCCTCCAGGAATCTTCAGCCTCCATGACTGATTATGCAAGCTCTTTCCCAAACTAATAACATCCAATACAATCTCCCCTGAAAGTCATCACACACACAGAGTTTTCTGTTAATAACTTATATTTAGGCTTTGTCTTTTAAAAAAGTAAAAGTGGGCGTGAAAGCAGTGTTGCATTAAACAATTCTAACAAATGGACAAGGCAGCTGTTGAGAGTCGGAGAGAAGGAAAGGTCAGAGGGAGGACATTTAGATACAGCGACAGTCTTGCTCAGCATTTATAATATACTTCTGTTACCGTGCACTATTTTTCTCCTTTGGTCAGAGATCACTTTAAACCTGCTATCATTACTCAGGGCTTTGTTAAGAGACTGAAAGGCTGCAGGGCCTAAGTAGGCCTAAGGCTATGTATTTTAATTTTATTATTCAAAATTGTAAATTTACATTTAAATCTATTATTATCTACACTGATTTAAATAGCCTTATTCCTATATGCTGTCTTGACTCAGCAACTGAATATACTAACCTTCTACTAACTGAGAAAATCATATTACTCTGATTTAGCAGTTATTATATTAATTCCAGCATAATAGGAAATTGTCTTTCTATGCAGAGAAACTAAGCAAAACTCCATATATTTTTAAAGCTTTTTGTACATAAACATTTCCTATTCACCTCAGTATATTTGCTAAGAATGCATAGCATAGACTGTAAACTTAAATAAGAACAAAAGATTTATTTTCTTCAAACATGGGCAAATTTAAAAGGTGGCTAAAAGTCATTTACTTCCACTCAAGTTAAAACAATACTGTTAGCACTGCAGTGACAAAGGCTCCAAATTACAAAGGTCAGTTAAGTAAAAGAGGGCAAAGGCAGCAGGACTCAGATGCTGAGAATAAAAACAAAAATAGATCCAATGCAGCATTTTGAGAATGAAGATCAATGAAAAGAGTTTTACATATAGCATTATTGTCTATACTGTTATGAGAGATCCTTTCTATTCTAGCATTTCCTCCTTTTTGGTTCTTGGCACTTGCTTTAATAAAACTAATACTTAAACCAAAGATGTACATTATCTGAAGTAAAAAGATACTAAATGCCTCAGTTAAAAATAACTTAGCTATCATGGTAAAAGTGAAAATAAATGATCAAAGTACAAATGGGGTGGCAAGGGAGAAGCAGCAGTGTATTTTATTTAACTACTGATCCAAGTAATAATAAGGCAGCAGGTTGTCTTTCCAATCAAAACTACTTTTATATTAATGCAAATGTCCTTGCTTGCTCAACAGTAAAGGTCTTAAAAACAAACAACTGAGAGGAAGTGGTACAAAAAAATATATAAGCCATAAAAATGACAAAAATATGAGTGAATAATATATGCTATGATTTAATGCTATAATTGTAAGTAGAATAGGCAATATTACTGCTTATGCTTATAACAGTATAGCAATTATTGAGACAAATATCAAATCAATAATAAAGTAGTAGTGGCATATATATTTGTTTAGCTTCATCAGTAGAAAGAAAAAGTCAGCATATAAAGATTTTATAAAATAAAGTGAGTATTTACACAGATAAAATAATTTGGAAGCTTTGCTTTCTTACCTGTGAGGACAGCTTTTGCTGAAGGATCTGCCAGGTCCAGGGCTGATTTCCCATCAGTGTTCCGAATGTTTGGATCAGCTCCGTGCTGCAGCAGCACTGTGCAGGGAAAGCAGAAACAATATCTTACCTCGGGGATACACAGATTATTTACTGGTAAGTGTCGTCTCGGCATGGTGTAGGTATAAACATACATTGCACAATTTTTTCTTTTTCAAAAATAAAAAAAAAGAAGAAAAAAGTAAGAAAAAAACACTGCAGCAAAGGATTCTCTCTAGAGTAAAGCAAAGTTGGCAACTTATGGTACAGTATTATCACATGACTTAACATCATAAACATGAAACTAGAAAAATCTTGCAATGTACAGTTCTGGCTTGCCTCATCAGGCAGCAGTAGGGGAAGCTATGTGCTCACTGGCTTACACTGTGAAATACGCTGTGAACCTGCCCTATCTTTACCACCACTGTGGCTGCTTGTTGCTGCTGCTGCTTTACTGCTGAATTTTCAAATGCTTCTTCTCCTCAGAATAGTTGTAATCCTGTGCAAGCCTTTTAGTGGCTCACCACTTACACGTGAAACTCACCATAACATACTGGCTTGCTTCCAAGAAGTTTAACAGACATAGTAATGTGTGCAACTCTAGTCCCCTGCAGTGAAGCTGCAAAAACGAACTACCTTCTACAATAATTCTTTCCATCAAAGATTTTTAGAAACAGAAACTCAATCACTGTAATACATGCTAAGAAATGAATGTAACACATGCTATAATGTGTAAAAAAGTAGCTACAGAGAATTCTCAGAAATGGAGGATTCTAAAAGAGGAAAGAAAAAAAATCACTGTTTAAGTAAAATCCAGGTATAATCCAAAACATTTCTCAGCCATATCTGGTGTGTGGTGTGGGGGTAGAGGGAGGAGACTGTTGTGTAATACTACCCAAGAAATGATTAAACTAATAAATACATTAAAAAGTTGCTCAAGTAAGTAAAATTCAATTACAAGTTAGGAGACACTACTATTGATGAGTCCCAAATTTTCATTTATTAATAGTTCCATGCTAAAGTACATACATTATTTTTTTTTCTTCTTTTTAGAAGGCAGGATTTATTGAAAGGACAGAAAAACTCCCACAGCAGGAGGGGACCCGAAGGGTTTGCCCAGTACATACATTCTTTAGGAATATTTGGAAGGCAATTCTCATATATTACAAAGTAGTAAGTCCTGCTATTTACAAAGCTCTTCTTCTTCCTTTAACACATAAGCCATAAAATCAATGACTTTGTTATAATAGACAAACAATAGCCTCATAAAGAATTAGGACACAGTTCCTAGGAAGGTGAGCATTTGCATCTCCTGTACTAGGTCTTGGGTAGTTTCAGACTTGGGATAATAAAGCTAGCAATGGCTTGAGAAGATACAGTGATGTTTTACAAAGACTTACTGTATTATTTCACACGTGAATGTAAGCAATGAACATAATTATTTTCCAGATGTTTATGAACAGACTCAAGAGCAAGTAGAATAAGACAGTAAATACCACAATATCAAACTGTAGCTACTTTTAGTTTTATTTCAGGAAGAAATTCCAGTGTAAAGATTTGGCTTGTAAAGGGTCTTTATCATAAAGCAGGCTCAACTATCAAATGAAAGCTGATAACTATCTCTGTCTTTATTTAGTTGCTGAGTGATCACATGAAAACAACAGAAATAATAGCTACTATGAAAAGCAGAGTATTTTATTACATACTTCAGGAACTTCAGAACCTGCTTTAAACATGAAATAAAGGAATATTTTTATCTAAGTTTTACAATTACATGATGGGAGCTTTCATTTTGCAGCTTTTAATGAGTAGTATAAGCAAAATATTGAAAGCCTGACTGTTCCTTTAAAAGTCACCTGAAATCTCAATCCTTCTTGTAACCAATATCTTACCTATTATATCTTTCCTATTTTGCAATAGAGATCTGCCATTACAGTTTAGTTGCAGTCTGGTTTTAGGTGACATTAAAAGGAATAAACTTGAAATATATGTTTGCTAAACATTTCGGGGTTGCAACTATCTCTTTTACAGACTTGAACACAGATATATCCACTGCAGAGTAATGCAGTAGCAGAAAAGTAGCTGCTGAATAGTCTGAACCCAATGCTGATAACAAAATCCATGTAAGAAAATATTTAATCATTTTTAATTCACTATTTATGGGCTAAAAAAACTCGCTAAAGTTAAGACTGTTAGAAGAAATAAAGGTATCTGCAATTAGACCAGCAGGGGTCTAATGGTATCTAGTTTTCATAAAGGATTACAGGATTGCTAGAATGATTAAATGAGAACATAAAGTGGTATATGCAAAGGTGCTGAGCAGGGAGCCTGACAATACCTATGAGTTGAGGATAATATTTAAAGCACATTTTTAAATGCAGGCCCTGCTTGTGCTCTCAATTCTACCAGTAACTACTAACTCCATGCTTTGTTCTAAGGCAGGAGTCAGCAAAACTTTTTTTCTGAAAAGGACAAGGAAGTATATATTTTAGTCTTTTGTGAATCACATGGCCTCTGTCTCAACCACAGTTGACCATTGAACAACACAGGTTTAAACTGCAAAGGTCCACTTACATGCAATTTTTTTTCAATTTAAGTTACATTTAAGTGTTCCTGCCTCTGCCATCCCTGAGTCAGCAAAAACAACCCCTCTTCTTCTTCCTGCTCAGCTACTCAACATGAAGATGAAGACATTTATGATGATCCACTTCCACTTAATAAATAGTAAATATATTTTCTCTTCCTTATGATTTTAATAGCTTTCTTTTTTAACATTTTACAGAATATAATAAATACAAAATATGCGTTAATTAACTTTATGTTATCAGTACGGCTTTCAGTTAACAGTAAGCTATTAGTAGTTACGTTTTTAGTGAGTCAAAAGTTATACATAGATTTTCAACTACATGGAGGTCAGTGTCCCTAAGTCCCGCGTTGTTCAAGGGTCTACTAGTAGTATCCATCCTCACCTCAACCATATCATTATATGCAAAAGCAGTCATAGATAATGCTTAAATAAATAAATGTGGCTGTGTTCCAATGGAATCTTACTTAAAGACTTCAAAAATTGAATTTTATATAATGTTCATGTGTCACAAAATATTATTCTTCTAATTTAAAAATATAAAAACATTTAAAAATATAAAAACAATCCTTAGCTTGCAGGTTAAACAAAAACGGGGTAAGCTGGGTTTGGCATATGGGCCATATTTGCTGACCCCTGACTTTGGGCATTGCTATACAAAGTGTGGTCGATTCTACCCAAAGTATATATATGAAATTCTGGTCCCAGATATGTTTATAATCCATGTACACTGAGATAAGCAAGCAAAGAAGTTAAAGGTGGTTATTTAGAACCAAGTCTGTTGTTTTAAAATTACCTTTTCCAGTACTTCATTTTGTTAACACTTTCTGT